GTCGACGAACGTATGTAACTGCACTTTACAGGCGGTCTCATAAAGATATGGAGAGTAGCAGCGCGGTACGGATACACTGGTAATTACTGGAAGGTACTTAAGCCAAATTCGCCATTTTAGTTACCTATGCGAAAGTTGAAGAGAATACTTACAAGTGGCGTTAACATATCCGGGCCTTTTAGTAAGAAACTATTCAGCGAAACGTCTGCGGATTTCGCGGCTGCGTCCCACACAAGGCGAATTTTATTTGGTTTGTGCGGATTTCGGACGATAAAAATTGGCAGGTACCAAACTTTACCTCCGCGATCGTTAATAGCTTCGTCCGGCAACTTGGTCGCATAGCTTTCTAAATTTTCAATTTGCTGTTGCATATTGCGATGAAGTTCTGGATCGGTAAGGAATTTACGCTCCAAACACTTAAAACGTCGGAGAGCAGTTGGTAAGCTATTAGGCAATTGTATTTGGTCATCTGACCACAGCAACCCCGCAATGTACCGACCTTCGCGTAACTCACAACCACGCAATATTTCTAGGGCTCGTTGGTCTTCACTAGAAACCGGGGTTTCCTTTGGCGTCGCAACGTCAATATTTTCGTTGATTACGAATGACTTTACGAGTTCATGTAAATCATTGTCGCTGCCGCAGTCGCACTTATGTAAATGTAATCCGCTGTGTTTACTCGGGTCATTTCCGCCTCCGAAAATTGTCCACCCCAGTCTAGTCTTCACTCCAATAGGGTCTTGCCACCCACCTTCACGCACTTTCAGAGCCATTATTAAATTAGGGTTATTTACGCCAATAATTAGCCGAAGGAATTACGTCACTAAAGCTTGGCAAAGGGACACCTTTTAAATGGTCGTATTTTTCACTTTAATTTGTCGGCAATTAAGATTCTGAAGCATATTTAAGCTTTTCACCGTGTGAACGCCGCGCAATGGGTATATTTCCCGTTCCGCATTATACCTGAAATTCGTATGTCAAGTCTTTGCGAGTCAGCTTCGTATCGATTTATGTCGCCGGTCAATGAATGCGAGAGGATCTGGAATGCCAGTTTCACCTAATTCATCTGCTGAGACTTTGCTCCATGAGAGTTACCGTTGATCCGTCGTCCATAAACGCGTATGTGAGTATTGTTTTGTTTTTGCCGTGTAATTCAACAGGTACAATGCGAAAGTAGTGTGGTATCGTTACTGGAAATAGAGCGATGATTATTCAGCATAGTTGAAGCCTCACTGCTCTGTCGACTATTTGCACTATGTAGCAATGCGTGATTACGTATTGTGCAGCCATCGATGCCGCACAACCTGTTACTCCAACAACGACGTGAGTGTGCTCCCAAGCAACTGTCGGCAAATATTTTTTCTTTTAATTACATCCCATCTCTCATCAGTAGTGAGTGCTTTAAATTGCTCACACTGAGAGACTTTGTGTGCCATACTGCATACTGCGCATCTGGTAACTGACTTAGATCCACGCGTGTTTTTGAAATACTGGAAGCGGATCTGTGAGTGTGCAATTGAGTTTCACGCTTGCTCGTTTTCTCGTGCAGGGTTTGTAACACCGACACGCTGCTTCAGCCAAGGTGGATAGCCAGCTGGAGAAATCGCTCAAGGTAGGGCTCTCAATCCCAGTTGAGTATATCGCCAGTCAGTTTTGCCTCTTGGGAGAGTTTATCTACAAATTCATGCAATAATAGTGGGCTGTTGAGGTACCGCTTAGTTTGCAAGCATGAATTGTTGCTACGATATTTTTGATGGCAAATGAAAAGTCGATGAGCAGGTCAAGTTTGCTCTTTCGGTGGCGGTAGTTGCCTTGCCTTATCAATGAGCTGTCTGAGTATTTGCTCAGGGCAGCCCAAAATACATTCTGAGCGTACATCATGATATCAGGCACCATATCTGGCAATACAAGCAGATTTCGCACGACTTCCCCTAGCTTTTCCACGTAGGCTCTTTTGAAGGCGAACTAAATTCTCGTGATTAAGGAGCCAGCCATTTGTGTGCTTTGCTCGTAATGCACTAACAAAAATGTGCCCTTGAGGCCACACGCAAATCTCTTGGTACACATTGTCGAGCTGCAAGCTGCGACGTCGTTAAATTAAATAGCATCGTTCGACGCAGCTGCGAAT